AGTGATGCCTATCGTTCTGGTCTCGTATCAGGTAGGAAGTCAGCCGATTTGAGGACGTTGCGTGGGATATGATTCCGGGATTTGATCCTTAAATCACTGCTTCTATGCTGGTTCAATCTTCAATCTTGGATGAGAGGAGGGCATGTGACCTACTCTGTTAGGTATGTTGAGGATGAACCGTACGAGGTGAGTCCTGCCATTCCCCGGAGTTTGCGCTGGAGGACATCTAGCTGTAAAGTGGCTGCTATGTTAGGGCTCCAGATGCTCTGGCCTTCAGAACATAAGTTCTATGGGATCTGTTATGAGTTGAGATTGATGCCGGTGCATATCAAAGCAATCAATGCAATAATCTCTGAGCATATGCTATCCATAAGTTTTGAAGATACTCTGCATCAAGATTTTATAATGGAATTTCCATCGTTATTCGTACTACTTATACTGTAGCAAATGGATTGATTCTATCAGGTTCCTACACTTCTATCCTAGCTAGTACTTGAGCAAATTGATCCCACATGCTCACTACATGCACGAAAAGGGCTTTGCTATCGCACCAATCTGCGATTGCAGTATAATATCATCTCTTTGGAAACCCTCTACAGCAACTCAATCTAAGCATACCTGTCAGAGATTAACCAATACCCAACACCAATCCCGCCAATCATCTAACTGTAAACCCCCAAGACACTACAACCCACCGTGCACTTTTACCTCACCTATACAAATATGTATCTAGAGATATAACCGCGCATAATCTATCTAATACTGGATATGGCACGACCATAGCACCCGAGGAAACCCCGTGTGTAACTGCTCCTCGAACACAGGTCCCATCCCAATAATCGTTCTCTGCACGTCTACCACCAAGGTAGGACACATGGAGAAAATGACAAAGAAAGGGAAAAAAAAAAAAAAAAAAAAACACACAACGAACTCGACGTCTAGCCCTCAGCCATGCCGGCTAACTGTTGAACAAATTCGAATCTTTTTGGACGTTTTCACTAAGGTGACACTTTCAGTCCTGATATTTGAATATGTTGTGCAACGTGGTCATCTGTGATTGTGAGTCATTGCATAGTATCTAACTCAGGTAGGGCTGGGTTCTATGATAGGGAGTTTCTCCAGTGCACTACCTACCTATATGTGTAAGTATACTGACCTAGGTTGGTAGCTTTAAGTTAGATATTAGTGAAATGAATAGACTTGGGACACTTGTTTTGACTGGGATTGAATTGTATATGCCATGATAGAAGTGTGTCTATCTAGGATTGTATATGTGTTTAGGGTACACTTGTCTCGTTGCTATACAGATTGTGTGCAGTATGCGTTGGTTGTGGTTTATATGATTGTATAATGTTGTGCATTCGAAAGTGCGTGTTCTCTCTCTGTCTCTCATTTAATATATTGGATAGAGCTTGCACAAACAGTGTCTACTCTACAGTCAATTGTACGTCTCTTGATATCCAGTTCAAACCACGACTCTAGACCAACCAGAAGGTAATTTGAACTCACTAGCTATAGATCTATAACGTGAGGATATTTTGAAGTCTGCCACAGCTTAGAACTGGCATTTTTGCCCTTTTGCAAAAGCTGTACCTGCCTCGCCCAATATAAGTGCCACCCTTCATGGGCTGACTGTTTGTTTTCTTGTGCCTCGTAGTGGAATGATCCCAGCTTGTGGTAGGGAGCGATTAGGACATACATCATTTGATGTTTTGATGAAATTGATGCTTTTATCAACATGATGATGACTGACAAGTGTAGAGAGTCAAGATCCGCAGATATCAGATATAAAGCATCGGATAACTCTCCATTTGCACGACCAGTTGATGCGTCTAGCATAGTGCAACTGCTTCCACAGCTATCGCCAGATGGGGGGATATGGAAAGCAATGGGTTATATGCAGTATGTATATTGTCTTCTGAGGTGAGGTCCTGGAACAGATTAGCTTCACTGATTGTATAGTGTACGATCTTCTACCGTTATACTTCTAGTAAGCTGGCAAGTTCTGTACTGTAACATGGATAGTAGGCTGATAGTGTAGGAGAGCCGGGCTTCGACTGCGAATTGACCAGGAGGAGTAGAGAAAGGGGTTGTCCTATACTCATACCTGTTTCGTATCAAACTATGTTGCAGGACAGGATATGGGCGAGGTTCTAGGCATGAAGATTAGACATAGCCCATGCGGAGCATATACCGCGTTTCTAGAGGATACTCATTGCCATTGGCAAATCCACCTGGTGGCATGGATCCGGTCATGATAATTCGTCCTGTCCACTACCCTAAGACCTCCTTTCGCCGCTTTGAGTCAATATCTTGTGCCTGGGTAATTGAATGTAATTGAAAACAGGACCAAGCCATCAATAAATTAGAGGGCCTATCATCCAACGCGAGCGACCAGTTCTGTATTTGAACCGTCGGAGGAATGGAATTGTATAAGACGTATACAGCCAACCCACTGTCGATATCTAGATCTGGTCTGAAGTTCGGTCCGCGGAGAACAAGGTCGACGGAGACAAACCCATTGCTTCGACACAAGGATGCTAAAGATAGCAGTGCATCCGATCAGTCGAATGCGGCGTCTGCCAGCTAATTCGAATGCAGTGTCTGCGTTTTATTGCATTGTCTGCAGAGTTGGGTCCTTCGGGTATAGTGGGGTGTTGTTTATTGCGGCACGCCTTCTCACTGCTTTACTGATTGTGACTATACAATTATATCGTCATATTCTCCAAATCGTGTCTCTTTCTATGACTCCTTGATAAAGTGAGTGAGTTGGGCGGAGAGCCTATGACACTTCCGTCAGGCAAGTGGAAACATCCGTATTTTATATATCCTATACTATCTTACGCGTGACTTGACAATGATGCAAGATCACTTTCATGTGGGAGTTGAGTTCGAGGTCCATGCAGTCAGCAATCAGTGGGATTCATACAACGGTTTGATTGCCCGTATTGGGACGGATATACTATGCGATCCCGCCGCGAAACCAACCTGTCGATTGCAGCATTTTCAGGAAACGTACAATCGACGAGTCGGGATGACCGTGACGAGATCTGTGAGAAGGACACAGCGAGTGATGTGTCAGGAAGACTGTCAAGCCTGCAGAGTGCAGAGTGCAGAGTGCAGTTGAAGACCAGGCAAGACGCTGATTGTAGTCAGGTGAGCGTTGGCATCACCGCTATTCCATATGACATCTTGAGGGTGTAATGGGTATCGGAGTGATATATACCGTGCATATACATAGGCACACTCCTTTTAGGATGCAATGAACATATCTATGCTCATTGGCGGGGGTAGTCAATCTGTTGGGCTGCCATGGGATGAATACTTTACCGAGATATAGACAGATGTGCTTCCTTTCCCAAAGTGGGAATAGTGGCCACAGTCGTCGTATTCTGCAGGAATGCTGATATTAAGCTCGGCCAGAGTCCGACGAGAGACCATGGTAGGTGGTTTGATCGACTCCACCAAATCCAATGCCCAATCTAGAGCTTACAAATTATGACCAAGACATATGCATATAAATATAGAAATAAAATTAAAATCAAAATCAAGCATGGGTGGAATTCGAACCTTGACCTTTGATCATTAGGGTGGTATTTATTATTCCGTGGAAACACCCGATCATAGATGGTCTAGCTCTAGGCTCTTCTCTTAGCTTCTGAAATTCATTCTTTGTTCTCCTTTTCCTTCCACTAGAAAGAGGAAACAGGTTGGTAGGGGGTAAAGAATCTTCGAAAGCCGTGGGGCGTGAAAATAATCAAAACTTTAAAGCCGATATGATAGATCCGAGTGCGATGGAATCAGGCGCGCATTCTGATTGCACGGCTAAGATCCGACGGAGCCCTCGAGGTCGGAAAGAGACTCGGAGAGATTCCAGGGAGGATCCGATTCGAGGAATTGATTTCTAAGCGACGTGGAAACCCGATGAGGGAGACCGAGCTGGACGTCGCTGACACGGTATGGATCAAGCTCAGTTTGAAAGTGGGTCGCATATCCTCTCTGCCTGGTGGAATGAAAAGGAAATCAGAAAAAAGAAAAGTAAGGATGGATGAATTAATCAGCCCAACATGATTCAAGTGATTGACCGCCTTTCATTAGTCCAGAGTCCACTTCCAGAGCTGCAGGTGAATTGTGGGTTCGTCACCAGTCGATCCTCCTGGGACCACTCAGAATGCCTCCAGAATCAGCAAGAGGGGGGGAAAAGTGGACTGGTCCAGCCCATGTGGCTATCCCGGTTGAGTCAAGATGATAATGAATGAGTATCATTATCATCATCATCAAGGATTAGAAATGACTCAATGAGTAAGCTCAGCTCCGTAAGCCCCTTAACCCCGAGGCTCTATCTCCGAACAATGCCTGGATGCCTTACCTGACTAAGACACTAACCTCAGGCAGTAAAGAGTCTGGAGTGGGAACTGCCAGATTGACCAGGCTTCCAATCAGACGCGTTTCTCTCGCACCATCTCCTCCTCTAGACGTCCTCCTCTTTCTCCTCCCTCCCCTCTCCCTCCAGGATATTTCACCCCATGTGATGGATTGTGTTCATCAGGGTTGGCCATTTCTCTCTGCCTGGCATGCATCTGGCCGGCGATCAGAGGTCGCTTCCAACCGACCTTGGCTGAAACCGTCACGGACAATGTGATTCGTCCCATCATTTTGACAGCCTCATGGCTCATCCTGACTCATGGGGCCTTTTTCCTTTCTTTCTCCTTGGGTCCGCCCCACAACACTTTGCGCCGGATGTTGAGGGGCCGCGTTCTCTCTCCTGATTGCTCCGTTTATTCCGTTATCCCTATGGGTCCCTGGATGCGTGCTTGCGATGCCTGACAAATCCACCCTATTTTCTTTCTTCCTTTTTTTTCTTTTTTCTTTTTTTTTTTTTTTCTGCTTAGAGTCCCCGGTGTTATCGTCGGTGTTAACAAGCAATCCCTGTTTATAAACCATGATTCAATAGCCTCCCCTCTTCCTACATAATGTCGAGGTCCAGCGCCCTGGTGGTTGAATTTCTGTGTTGAAAAACGGCCGTCGAAGAGCGTCACTTCTTCCCATTCGCCTAACCATCGGTTGCATAGTCCGTGGTTTTGGCTGTATAGCTGACTAGTTATCTGATTGATTGTTATCGCTTCTTGTGTCTTGTCACTTAATTGGCTAAACCGCGAAGAAGCTTTTCGGCCCATATATCTATCGCCTTCATCTCATATCTTCTTGAATCGATTGTCGCAAATATCACCCACCACACCCTTGTCTTTGGCATATAACAAAACAGGAATTGTTCCCGCCATGGCGGACGAACTTCGCCAGCCCGAGGCGCTGTCCCACGCGCAGGGCGCGCGCGATGACAGCTTTAATCATGCAGACGCTCCCGACTCCACATTCGATTCTAGTACCACCAGTTTCACCGACCAGTCCATCGAGGGCCGATGGGGCGAACACGCCCAAGAAACCGTGTCCCGACGGGGTGCGATGGAGGAATTCGAGGAGATGCGACGAGAATTGACCCGGACCCGTTCCGCCACGGCAGACGCCACGCGACTGCGCTCGTTGCCCTCCCACGGTGCCCGTCACCCCCGGGACGAGGAGGAAGGACGAGGCGAGGAGGATGTGGAAGGAGAATTCCAGGGCGGTTTCGATCTGGACGAGTTTCTGTTGGGCGGCCATCTTGAACGACGGACCACGGCAGGAGAACCCGCCAAACGAGTCGGAGTGGTGTTCAAGAATGTAACCGTCAAGGGTGTCCAGACCGGCGCCTCCTTTGTCCGTACCATGCCCGATGCCGTGCTGGGGACGTTCGGTCCCGATCTGTACCGGATACTCGGCCAGTTCATCCCGCCGCTGCGGTTCGGAAAGGCGCCCCCGGTCCGGGATCTGCTCCACGACTTCAGCGGATTGATCCGAGAGGGCGAGATGATGCTCGTGCTGGGTCGACCCGGCGCCGGCTGCTCGACCTTCTTGAAGACCATTGCGAATGATCGGGGCGCCTTTGCCGCGGTGGAGGGTGATGTGAACTACGGCGGCTTGTCCGCCGACGAACAGTTCAAGCGGTTCCGTGGCGAAGTCAACTACAACCCCGAGGACGACCAACACTTCCCCAACCTTACCGTGTGGCAGACATTGAAGTTCTCCCTGATCAACAAGACCAAGAAACACGACCGGGCCAGCATCCCCGTCATCATCGATGCCCTGCTCAAGATGTTCGGCATCACCCACACCAAGGACACCCCCGTGGGGAACGAGTACGTTCGCGGTGTGTCCGGTGGCGAGAGGAAGCGAGTCAGTATCGCCGAGACCCTGGCGACCAAGTCGTCGGTGGTCTGCTGGGATAATTCCACCCGCGGCCTGGACGCCAGCACCGCGCTCGATTACGCCAAGTCCCTCCGCATCATGACCGATATCAGCAAACGGACCACCTTGGTCACGCTGTACCAGGCGGGCGAAAGTATTTACGAACTCATGGACAAGGTGACGGTGATCGACGAGGGCCGCATGCTCTACCAGGGACCGGCCAACGAAGCGAAGCAGTACTTCATCAACCTTGGCTTTCACTGTCAGACGCAGTCAACCACGGCCGACTTCCTCACCTCGCTGTGCGATCCGAACGCCCGTCAATTCCAACCGGGCAGGGAGGCATCGACACCCAAGACGGCCGAGGAACTGGAGGAAGTCTTCCGACAGAGCAGCGAGTATAAGCGGATCTGGAACGAGGTCTGCGAGTACGAGCAGCGACTGCAGGACACGAATCAGGAAGACACCCATCGCTTCCAGAAGTCTGTCGCCCAGTCCAAGAGTAAAACGGTCTCCAAGAATTCCAGTTACACGGTGTCCCTGCCCCGACAGGTCATGGCGTGTGTCCAGCGCGAGTTCTGGCTTCTCTGGGGCGACAGGACGTCTCTCTACACCAAATACTTTATCATCATTTCCAACGGCCTGATTGTCTCGTCTCTCTTCTACGGTGAATCTTTGGATACCAGCGGTGCCTTCACCCGTGGCGGTGCCCTGTTCTTCTCGATTCTCTTCCTGGGCTGGCTGCAACTGGCCGAGTTGATGCCCGCGGTCACCGGGCGTGGCATCGTTGCGCGCCACAAGGATTATGCCTTTTACCGTCCCTCGGCAGTCGCAATCGCCCGCGTGGTGTTGGATATACCGTCTATATTCTGTATGGTGGTGCCGTTCACCGTCATCGTCTATTTCATGACTGGGCTGGATGTCACCGTCTCAAAATTCTTCATCTACTTCCTGTTTGTGTATACGACCACGTTCTCCATCACGTCTCTTTACCGCATGTTCGCCGCCCTGTCGCCGACGATCGACGACGCGGTTCGCTTCAGCGGCATCGCCTTGAACGTGTTGGTCCTGTTCGTCGGTTATGTGATTCCCAAACAAGACCTGATCAACGGCTCCATCTGGTTCGGGTGGCTGTTCTACGTCAACCCGATCGCGTACAGCTACGAGTCGGTTCTTACCAATGAATTCTCCGATCGTGTCATGCAGTGCAATCCCTCGATGTTAATCCCCCAGGGCCCGGGTGTCGATCCGAAATACCAGGGATGCTCCCTCACAGGATCTCAGCTCGGCCACGCGGATGTCTCGGGCTCTGCGTATCTCCAGGCCACCTTCCAATTCACTCGAAGTCACCTTTGGCGCAACTTTGGTGTCGTCATTGCGTTCACCGTGCTGTATCTTTTGGTCACCGTCCTCGCTGCCGAATACCTGTCATTCACTGGCGGTGGCGGTGGCGCCCTCGTCTTCAAGCGGTCGAGCCGTGCGAAGAAGCTGAAGGCGCAGACTAACAAGGAAAACGATGAAGAAAAGGTCGAACGACCGGAAGATAACGCGGCGCTAGCACGCGGAGAGGCGAGCTCATCCGGAGATGCCCAACCGTTCAACAAGCTGTCGTCCAGCGACAGGGTCTTCACCTGGTCCAATGTCGAATACACGGTCCCATACGGAAACGGAACGAGGAAGCTCCTCAACGGTATTGACGGCTACGCCAAGCCCGGTCTCATGATTGCCCTAATGGGCGCGTCTGGTGCGGGCAAGACCACCTTGCTCAACACCCTGGCCCAGCGTCAGAAGATGGGCGTCGTGTCTGGTGATATGCTGGTCGACGGCCATTCTCTGGGCACCGATTTCCAGCGTGGCACCGGGTTCTGCGAGCAAATGGACCTCCACGACAACACTGCTACCATCCGCGAAGCGCTTGAATTCTCGGCATTGCTCCGTCAGGACCGGAATGTTCCCCGGGAGGAGAAGCTCGACTACGTCAACAAGATCGTCGACCTACTGGAACTCGAAGACATCCAGGATGCGATCATCGGCTCCCTCAATGTCGAGCAGAAGAAGCGGGTGACAATCGGCGTCGAGCTGGCTGCGAAGCCAAGCCTTCTTCTCTTCTTGGACGAGCCCACCAGTGGTCTCGACAGTCAGGCGGCTTACTCGATCGTGCGGTTCCTGAAGAAGCTATCCCAGGCGGGACAGGCGATTCTGTGCACCATCCACCAGCCGTCGTCCATGCTTATCCAGCAGTTTGACATGATCCTGGCCTTGAACCCCGGAGGAAATACTTTCTACTTCGGCCCCGTTGGCCCCGAAGGTCGCGACGTGACCAAATACTTCGCAGACCACGGAGCAGTGTGTCCCCCTTCGAAGAACGTCGCCGAATTCGTGCTCGAAACCGCCGCCAAGGCGACCACCAAGGACGGCAAAAAGGTCGACTGGAATGACATCTGGCAGCGCTCGGAACAGAACCAGAACCTAAGGAACGAGATCCAGCGCCTGACCGCAGAGCGCAGCAAGATCCCCATCACTGACCACGGAGTTCAATACGAGTTCGCCGCGCCTACCTGGACCCAGACCAAGCTTCTCACCGAGCGCATCTTCCGCCAGTACTGGCGCGACCCGTCCTACTACTACGGCAAGCTCTTCGTCAGCGTCATCATCGGCATCTTCAACGGGTTCACCTTCTACATGCTCGACGACTCCATCGCCAGCATGCAAAACCGCATGTTCTCCATCTTCCTGATCATTCTCATCCCGCCCGTCGTCCTCAACAGCGTCGTCCCCAAATTCTACATGAACCGCGCGCTCTGGGAAGCCCGTGAATTCCCCAGCCGCATCTACGGCTGGGTCGCCTTCTGCACCGCCAACGTCGTCTGCGAGATCCCCATGGCCATCCTCTCCAGCCTCATCTACTGGCTCCTCTGGTACTACCCCGTCGGCTTCCCCACAGACTCCAGCACAGCAGGATACGTCTTCCTCATGTCAATGCTCTTCTACCTCTTCCAAGCAAGCTGGGGCCAATGGATCTGCGCCTTCGCCCCCTCCTTCACAGTCATCGCCAACGTCCTCCCCTTCTTCTTCGTCATGGTCAACCTCTTCAACGGCATCGTCCGCCCCTACAGCACCTACCCCGTCTTCTGGAAATACTGGATGTACTACGTCAACCCAGTCACCTGGTGGCTCCGCGGCGTCATCGCCGCCGTCTTCCCCGCCGTCCAAGTCCACTGCTCCCCCAAAGAAGCAACCCACTTCAACCCGCCCCCCGGCTCCACCTGCGCAGACCACGCCGGCGCCTTCGTCGACAAACTCGCCCGCGTCGGCTACCTCGTCAACCCGGATGCCTCCACAGACTGCCAGTACTGTCCCTACAAGGACGGCACCGAGTACATGAGCATGCTGAACGTCCACGACGGCGACAAGTGGCGCTGCTTCGGCATCTTCTTGGCCTTTGTGATCATCAACTGGCTCTTGGTGTATTTCTTCATCTACACTGTTAGAGTCAGGGGCTGGTCGTTTGGGGTGGGCTATTTGTTTGGCGGGTTGGGGCTGTTGGCTGATGTTATTAAGAAGCCGTTTTCGAGGAGCGAGAAGAAGGTGGAGGAGTAGATATTTTGTATTCCTTTCTTCTTTTTTTCTTTTTTGTTATTTTATTTTAATTATTATTTATTTTGTGGGTGTTAGATATGTGGATGGAAAGGAGAAAAGATAGAGGGAGGAGATGATGGTTATGATGAATGAGATATAGATTTCACTTGTGTATTTATTTCATATTCATTATAGATGAATTGATTGTATCGAATATTTCAATTATAGATCCGTATACCTACTTAAGAATCGATTATACTGTTCGAATTCTTATGGAGAAGAAGAACAATGGCTATCTCCCAAATTCCATCAAATCTGAAATAAACAACCCATACATAGTGAAATAATAGTAGGTATCATTGGAACAAGTGTACTATTCATTAGTTAATCCATTCTGTCGTCTCATTTTCTTGTAGTATCTATCCCCCTCCCATCTGCACATTATTCTCTATGAAGACCTCGATCAACTGATCAGGTCAAATCAGTCTCCATATAATACCACGGTCTCCGATCCGGCCCATACTGCGCACCAGGGAGACGCATCGGCACCGGGACAACATTCCTGAACACGTCTAGATGGGTTGCTGATTCCTGGGGTGAAGATTCGGGCTGTGGTTTGTCTTCCTGGTCTGGGCTTCTACTTTCTGCGGGTGCGGACGTTGAGTCGTTGATGACTGGGATCAAGACGCCGCATTCCCAGTTTCGGCAGTTGAGTTTGGGTGCTTTTGTTGTGCGGTCTTGGACGAGGCGGCCCCTGTTTTGGTGGTGTTTTGTTAGCGGTGTTGCGGTGTCTCCCTGTGGGAGTGGGCTTGGGTTTGGGAACGTACCAGGCGCTCTCGGATAGATTGGCGCTTCCTACGTATGCCCATGCTTGGCACTGTTTGTTGTTGGGTAGTGGGATTGGCTCGTCCGGTCTCACGTAGAGGATCTTGCACTGTTAACAACTGCCATATCATGATTGTAAGGCGGGTGGACACACCTTGCTGTGCATGAGTACGTTTCCCCTCTCGCTTACACTGTCCCTGAGGATATGCCGCGGGAATTTCGCATTGTTGTACCATCTGGACTGGAAGCAGATTGTTCCTGCGCAGTTCGGCCCGCCCTTGGACGCGTCGACTGTCGTCTGCGAGGGGAAATACGCCCGGAATCTGCTGTCCTTCCATTCTGCGGCGGTGTTTTTCTGGATAAGTCGGTTGGGGCCGGTGCGGCTCCTGGCTGGGAAGGATTTTGCGGTTCGAAGAGTGTATTCTGTTGTTCCGTCGTCGCCTTGGATAGTTAGTTTGTGGTTGTTTTGCTACTTGTTGCCAGCTAACCTTGCGCTGCGAGGTACAGTGATCTCAAGAATTCGTCAGTCAAGGATCCCAGGGATGATGTCTGTTTTTGTTAGCGTGGCTTGTAGTCTAGACATTGATCGAGGAAAACTGACGACAAAGTCGAGGTTGAGAGGTTTCGACACCCGTAGGCCCAGGTTTTCAACTGAGCGTCCTAGACCACAGTACCCTGTTCGTTTCCATGCATCCCCTGTATGCGAGCCGCCACTGAATGGAATAAGCTTCCAATGCGACAGGTACTAGAAGCAATGCAATGCACTTACATGGTGTGAACAAATGCAATGTGAGAGGTACTGCTAAAGTCAAAAAGGTTGAGTTTCGATATGATATTCTCATTCAAGGCGCTGGCTTTAAGGAAATAGGCCAACTCTTCGAAAAAGGCCGTTGCACTGGTATCGCTTGCTGATTCTTTCTTCTTGGGAAGATCAATCAGAAAGACACTCTGCGTTCCAGTTAGCTAACGAAAATATTTGAGACCAAATGCGACATACGTTTTCCATGACACCTCCCATCTCGCCCCAGTCGTAAGACACGAGGTTGGCTGTTGGTACAACGATCCGGAGATACTGAGGATGGAAGAGAAGCATCAATTTTGAATGCATGCAATTCACTTGTGCCTCCATAGGTGGGAAGCAGAGTCTCAAATTAGGCAAGGAAGCTGTCTCGGCCTCATATTGGCGTTTCTTGAAAGGGTCAGCCTTGGAACGTGATAGGTGCTTACTGTAAACAGAGAAGGTCGCAGAAGTCGATCAAATAGACAATGTGATGTCGCGAGCATCCCAATCTGGATACCGATAGGAAGACTTACAGTAGCATCGTCCTTAGCCTGCATCATCAAAAGAAGACGCGTCTTCCTTGTATCCAGCTTTGAGAAAAGCCATTCCATGTCCCACATGAACGAGCTCAAGACAGCAAGTTCAAGATCAGACTTTTGGAAGACCTCTTCAATTTTGATATCGTCGCCCATTCTGTGGCAGCTGAATGCCCATGTTTTCTTGACGGTGCCCATCGGAAATTGAACGGACGGACTAAGGGATGGCTGGGGATTTTGCTGCATCTTCCCACAAATATCTTGACTGGAGCCACCTAGATTGCCTGCTGTATCAGACACAGGGGCGTCCTTTGAGCTATCCTTCTGGGGCTTCGGTGGAGAGTCGATCCGCGGATGTTTAACATCGCGCTCGTCAGTAGACGCACTACGCTCAGCCTTTCGTTTGGCTAGACGTGCTAGGCGCTCTTGCTCCATTTGTTTCCGATCTAGACCCAGAATGCCCGTTGATGTCCGGTGTTCTTGACCAACCGATGGATTTTCAGGTTCCTTCGAAGAGTGAGGGACTGAATGCTCGCTTGTACGATCAACGCGGGAAGATTGTATGATTTCGACATCACTTTCCTCCTGTACGGATAGCTCAATAGCCCGTCTGAGGTCTTCATCGTCATCATCGCTCTCCTCCTCGCCTGCTTCATCGTCCGTCTCAGAGCCTATCAAAGATTGTGATTTTGGATAGATCGGGACTACTTCGTCATCTGACTCAGCTGTAAGATCAACAACTTGTTGGGGTCCGTGAGAGACACCATGGTTCGAATTCTGCGCATCACTCAATGACGCGGCAATAGCCTCTCGAAGCTCTTGGTCTTCCTGATCTCCTGCATCCATGGTGGAGAGTTGGCTGTAAGGGTTCCAAGTGACAAGATAGAGACAACAAATGTCTGAGATGACAAGGAGATGGTAGGAAAGAGTGAGTTGGTTGTCTCACGAAAGTATTACCATTTCACGGAAAATGGAGTGCCCTGTGTAGAATGATATTGTTGAAAAGGTCGGTAAGATCAGAAAAGTAGTACTATGTAAATAGTACTACGCAAATGGCGCTACTAGTGTACGCGGTTTTACCACGCAGTGAGCGCAGGGGTGATCTCATGGAACTCAAATCGGGTCTTGGGGCGTGTGAGAGTGATTTGAATGCTAGACACCACAAGATCACGATGAGAAAGCAGAGGAACGCGAGTGATGGAGTAGAAGCTGCAGAGAGGAGTTGGAGAAGGTTCAACTACCAGTGATTATTGTTGTTTCGATGCAGTCACGTGATCGGAACGGTCACAGACCGTTCTATACTATAAGCTCTATCTTTGGAAAAAGGGTTGTAATGACTACTAGAAGGACGACTATGAAGAGGTATGGTAACTGCATTTCATCATTCAATCAACGTAGAGTTGGAAGCTAAGAAAGGTGCTCGTAGATATTTATCGCTCTCGAGGCTAGAATTCACTACTTCGGTCTATATCGTAGAGAGTAGAAAAAGCAGTTCTCACAAGGAAAAAAAGAAGACGGTCAATGTTGTACTGTCTTTCAGTAACAGTAGGACGTGTTGGTCTAAGTGCCACGAGAATGGAAGACGACTATATTAGTTTTGTCTTGAGCCTCTTCCCACACCTGTATCCTGTCCAAACTAACACGCACTGCTTTCTCTTGATCAGGCGTGTGGGGAAACGGCCAGGAAAATCGTTTGATGGTTGCGGTAGCATGGCAATTTCAACAACCATATCTTCTGCTGCGAGAAGGGGGTCTGGACGAGGTTTCCAGCATCGTATGACTTATTGCCATCGGTCTGGAAGTAAAAGAGCTTCTGATCGTATATTCCTTGATCCGCGATGACGAGAAACTGCTGTAAAAGGTTTCGACGATCATCGGCTGAGCTGTTCTTGGTATTCAAATTGTCCAGGGCCATGAGAGATCCGCCGTGCGGACATGAGACTATCTTCGCGGGTTTGTTGAGATGCGCGGGTTCTCACCCTAAAAGGCGACCAAAGCGACTGCCGGGGCCATAGTATATCGTTGTCTTGTAAGTTGTGTGCCTCGATGGCTGCTGGCTTCTTCATATTTCTGAGCTCATGCATCGCCCCTGCTCTTCCACCCATCGTTTTTCGGCTACCTCCACGGCCCAACTAAGAATATTTAAATGCACTGAAGCGCAAGATCCGTAATTCCAAAAAAGACATCGCGATCAGCCTCGGCGGTCTCAAGCCCGATCCCAACAACGAGCAGACGTTTCTCATTGGGGTTCTTCGTCACAATGATACTAGCCACCTGACGGGCGTATAGCTGACCAATGGTCTCATGTCCAGGAAGCCGACCCCCCAGCAAAGAAGTAGCAGTCAAGCTAGCCATTGGAAGAAGACTGTCATCATCTGCGGATTCTGGGATGGTGTGCGCCCCATCCGTGCCTGGGTTTTGACTGCCCAGAGGGACATGTAGCTGCAGCAAGTTAGTTACGCGCTGACAGGATCACTAGAGCGTGAACCACGAACCCAGTGACCGAGCCGGCCTTTTTGAGATATGGTAAAGAGGATCTTATCGCTGAAGCTCAGCGACATCACATCGGTTGGGACTCCATTGATCACACCAGTGGCTTGCTTCGTGGCAGCAGGAAAAGGGAGGTCCAGATGATCTGGGAGTTGGTTGACGTCAAATGAATTAGCCATGGTGGATTGCCTTTCTTTCTTCGAATTGGATGTCTAGATAGTTGGTTGGTAAACAGAAGGCCAAGGTGGGGAACCGTCAGCGGCACATGCTCCAAGGCGGTCAACGCAGTCTCCCCGATCGGCGGGCAGAATCCCACCGCCGCCCGAATTTTTCTTTTTTGGTCTACTCCAATCTTCATTCTTCTTGGGATTGCTGCTCGTCCTACTCCGATTTTATTTAGGAGGAGTCGCAGACAGAATTGAAAATGCCCAAATTCGTCCCTCGCCAGCGGAAGCAAAAGCACCGCCAGAAACAGGAGAAGGGCGCCGTGGTAGACTCGAATGCCACCGAGATACAACCGGTCTCCAAAAGTGAGAAGGAAGCCAGACGGCAAGATCTCAGAGAGAATCTAAGAGCGCAGCACTCGAATATCTCCTCCAAGAAACAGAAGCGTCTGGATAAATACATTGTATGCGAGGATCATACCAGAATCATATAGGGTCCGTGTATACTAACTTAGAGCAGGAAAACAAATTAAAGAAAGAAGAGAATGTCGAGCTGCTGAAAAAGCTCGCCGAGTCGAAAGCTGACACTTCAGGCCTATTGCGTACGAGGGAGCTCGGGAAACGCAAAAGAGAGGATGGCGACTATCGTTCAGCTTCGCGTCCGGAACACGATGGTCATATGAACCAAGACTTGTCCGGCGATGAGACAGACGACTCTTTCGTCGAGAAGGACCCGAAAACGAATAAAGCCGGTGCAATTGCAGCACCGCCCAAAGAAACGCAGGCTGTCGGTAGCGGTTTGAAGCGACCTCTTGAGCTGGGCCCGGATGGGTTCCCTGTCCTCAAAAAGCGAAAGCCAGCACCGAAACCGAAACCCACGGTGATTGAAGTACAGGATGTCCCGTGGGAAGGATTCGGCTCGGAAGACGATGCGACAAGCCAAGACGATGGATCAGAGGAGGATAGCGACGACGACGAAGAGGACATGGATAATGAGGACAGCGAAGGAGACTCCGAAGAGTCGTCAGTGGACGGTTCTGAGGATGACAGCGATGAAGACAGTGACGAGGACGAAGAGGATGAAGAAGACGAGGAAGATGGCTCGGTTAAGCCGATGCCCCGTCAATCCGCCTTCAAGTCCTGGGCCAGGCAACAGATCAACGATACTGTGGGATTCCAACCCGCCACCACTCCAGTTACCGCCGAAGAGCAACCGGTCGTCCTCGAATCTAAAAAGCCCGTCAGAAATACCGTCGATCTCGAGGAGCCACTTCCCGCAGAGCTTCAAGTGACCAAGGGCAACCCTTACCGGAAGGCTTTCAGTGTCCCAGTCAACCGGACTGAAGAGATTCAGAATGCACGCCTGGGGCTTCCTGTTGTGGGTGAGGAGCAGAAGATCATGGAAGCAATCCATAACAATCCTGCCATCGTGATTTGGGGAGCCACTGGTAGCGGAAAGACTACGCAGCTCCCACAGTTCCTGTTCGAAGCTGGGTACGGCAATCCCGACAGTCCCAATCCGGGAATGATCGCAGTGACCCAGCCCCGTCGGGTTGCCGCCGTCAGTATGGCCAAACGTGTCGGCGATGAGTTGGGCCAGTTTTCCGACCAGGTCTCTTACCAGATTCGATTCGAGAGCACAGTTTCCAGCAAGACCGCCATCAAGTTCATGACCGACGGTATCCTTATCCGTGAAATTGCCGAAGACTTCTCTCTGAGCAAGTACTCCATCATTGTAATTGATGAAGCTCACGAGCGAAGTGTCAACACGGACATCCTCATTGGCATGGTAAGCCGGATTGTCGACTTGCGAAAGACGATGGGCGCAGAGGATCCGAAGGTCAAACCTCTGAAACTTGTGGTCATGTCTGCAACGCTTCGAATTTCGGATTTTACCCAGAACACAAGCTTGTTCCGCCTGGGACCTCCGCCATTGGTTCAAGCCGAAGGCCGCCAGTATCCTGTCACGGTGCATTTCGCCAAAACAACGCATCGCGATTATGTGGAGGAATCGTTCCGAAAGATCTCAAGAGGCCATCGCAAATTGCCTCCTGGCGGCATGCTCGTGTTTTTGACCGGACAGGGTGAAATCAGAAGCCTCGCCAAGCGTCTCAAGCAGACTTTCAAACCCACGCAGCGAGGAGATCTCACACAGGCCAAGGTCCAAATCACGGCGAACGATGCTCCGCTGGAGGCAGAGGATCTTGATATTGGAGGGGTTGACCTATCCAATATTGGTGATGAGGAGGATGACTACAGTGACGTCGAAATCACCGGTCTGGATGACCCCGAAGAAGACGAGGAGTTCGATTTGGGCGAGGAAGCAATGGACTCGTCGACGAAGGTACACGTGCTCCCATTGTATTCGCAGCTGCCTACCAAGGAGCAGTTGAGGGTTTTCGAGCAGCCACCGGAAGGCTCACGGCTTATCGTACTAGCCACCAACGTGGCCGAAACAAGTCTGACGATCCCGGGCATTAAATATGTCTTCGACTGCGGACGAGCCAAAGAGAAGCAATACGATCTGGAGACGGGGGTACAAAAGTTCCAAGTCGACTGGATCAGCAAGGCCAGCTCAAACCAGAGAGCAGGACGAGCCGGTCGAACAGGACCCGGCCACTGCTATCGATTATACTCATCCGCGGTTTACGAAGGCCATTTCGCCGAATACACCGAGCCAGAGATCCTGCGGACGCCCATCGAAGGAGTCGTGCTACAGATGAAGAGCATGGGTCTTCACAATGTCATCAACTTCCCGTTCCCTACGCCGCCCAGCCGCCAGGGCCTATTCAAGGCCGAGAAGCTGCTGAAGAACCTGGGCGCGCTCACGGCCGATGGACAAATCACCCAGATCGGCAAGCGTCTGTCGACCTACCCCCTGTCGCCTCGCTTCAGCAAGATGCTCTACATCGGCAACCAACACGGCTGCATGCCCTATGTCATCGCGCTCGTTGCTGCCCTCGCAGTCGGGGACCTGTTTGTCCCCGCAAACCAGATCGACCCACCGGCGGTACCCGCGCAAAATTCCGCGCAACATGACGAAGACACCAAGAGAAAAGTCTACACTAACGCCGACCGGCTCGAAGACACCGCCCGGGCACAGCGCGCCAAGGACCACGCGCGAGCCCAGCGTCTCTTCAGCAAGCACGACGACACCTCCGACGCGCTCAAGTACCTCTCCGCAATCTGCGCCTACGCCTACGCCCCCGACGGGGAGTCCTTCTGCGAAGGCATGTTCCTCCGCGCCAAGGGCTTGAAAGAAGCCGCCCAGCTCCGCAGCCAGCTCGCAGATATCGTCCGCGCCAACAACCCCGGCATCATGGGCGCATACCAGCCCCGTCTCCCCGAACCATCAGACAAGCAAACCAAGGCCCTCAAGCAGATCATCACCGCAGGCTTCATCGACAACGTCGCCATCCGCGCAGACCTCGCGCCCGTACCCCCCGAAATCGACCGAACCCCAAAGCGCGCCATCGACGTCCCGTACCTAACGCTCTTCAAGTCGCGCGAGGGCCCCACCACCGAGCTCCAGGAAAAGGCCGTCTACGTCCACCCGTCGTCGCTGATCGCAGGCCTCACCCCCAAGGAAATGCCCCAGTACATCATCTACACGCACCTCCAGCAGTCCGCGCCGTCGGTCGTCTCCGACCAAGCGCCCAAGATCAGAATGCACCCGCTCGTCGCGCCCAGCGGGCTGCAGCTTTCTGCGCTTGCTCACGGCACCCCGCTTCTCCAGTATGGGAAGCCTATTGGCAAGATTGAGCAGATCGATGGGATCCCCCCGCGCCGCGCGTGCTGGGTGATTCCGTCGCTGGTGGGTGAAGGTGGGGGGACGGGGTGGCCGTTGCCGGCTAAGAAGGTGGTTCAGAGGAAGGACCCGAAGGAGGGTTGGGTGATTGAAAAGTTTGTTTAGTAGTGTATATATTATACCCATGATTTTGAATATTATGATGGTATGACTATCCTAATACTGTGTGGACCGATAGTTGTAGACGCTTGTATTTTCTCTAATCTTCAGCTCAATCGTCTTCATTTTGATCAACATAGTAATAGTAGGTACCTGATAATGATAACCCTAACGCCAAAGCCTAAACCAACAAACCCGGATAGAAAGAAAAGAAGAAAGAAAAGACTAATACCTCTCCCTCTCCCTCCTCTTCTCAAAAGCAGGATACCCCCTCGAGCTCGAAATCTCCCCCGTCTCCTTATCCTCCCTAATCCCCAACGCCCTCCGCAACCGCTCACTCTCCTCGATCTTCGCCTCAGCAAGCTCATGCACCTGATACGCCTTGAACTGTTTCCTGCCTTTGTTCCCGTCCTTCCTGCCATCCGCAGGCCCGGAACGCCCTCCCCTCGAAAAATCATCCTCATCCAACTCCCTCAACAATCTCGCCCTCAAAACCTCACACCGCTCATCGATCTCCTCTTCGGAGAGAACCCTCCTCTTCCCCTCACCATCACCATCACCGTCACCATCACCACTCTCATCAACCTCCCCATCCTCCCCACCCTTCTTCCCCCCTTATCCTCCTCCTTCTTATCCCCCTCACGCATCTCCTCAATCTCCTCATTCTCCTCCTCCAACCTCTCCCTCTCCTCCATAACCCTCACCTCAATCTCCCTCCGCCGATCATGCTCCAGAATCTGCCGATCCGGCATCCGCTGCCTAAACGGTTTGCCCGCGTCCAGTGCGGCGCCCGCGCCGGCGACGGGCGGGTAAGGCGCCCCGTAGCCCGTGTTGCGGGGTTTCATGAAGGCGCTGTTGCGCTGCACGTAGCCGGATGTGCCGCTACCTCGGGGCGTGGAGAGGCCGACGTTGGAGGACATCTTGTTTGGTTTTTTTGTTGTTGGGTATGGGTAGGTATGTGTATGTCGAGGGGCTTTCTTGTTGAGTTGTGTTTGGATGGGTTGGGTGGGTGGGTGGGTGGATTGGAGGTTTCGCTGAGCTGTGGTCTTTGTTCGGTGGTGGGCTGATGGTAGGTATTTATATTGGTAAATTGCTCGGTAGTAGATATGACGGTGACAGCCGTAAAGGTAGGTAAGAAGGTACTTTGCGCTGTTGATACCAACCAGTGTCGCAGTCGAGATCGACGTCCAGATAGCTTTGCAAGCCGTGGCGAAGTTCCGCATCGGAGATAGGTCACGTGGAGATAACGCGGATAACAACCAAACATCTCAACAATGTATGTACTTCAGTAGAGTCGTTACTGTTACTACAATGCTGTTGCTACAGTACAAGTAAGACAAATCCTACAAAAAAAAAAAGAAGAAAAAATGGGGAGTAATGTTCAATTTAGCCTACTCGCTGTATACCGACATAACAGACCTCGACATGCACCAGGCATGTGCTTGTGTCATCCTATTTCCGGGTCTTCCCCTATGTCCAAGGTTTGTTCCCCCATTTTTGTAAATCCTTCCAGAGTCGAATCCCCTTTGTTTCACCCATTAAGACGCCGATCCCTCATATCCGAACAAAGAAACAATAGAACCATTTACTGACAGCTATGGAGGCGTGTTCTCGTTTCATCACATCAGCTTCGGGAAGAAAAGACATGCACAAATTAAAGATATAAAGCGTGAAGAATATGTCGAGAAGGGAGGCGCGAGGGGTGAAAAGGTGATGGAAATAGTGATAGTGTAAAGAGATAATGAAGGCAAGAAAGAAAAGGCGTCAGCACTATTCCCATCACGGCTCTGGGTCATGATTGTCGTCATGCCGTGGGGTGAGAGGGAGCAAAAAAAAGAGAAAAAAAGAAGAGACAAGTAAAAGATAAAAAAAAAAAAAGCACCAAAGCCCATTAGTGATAGATACCTCATATTCCCCATAATAGACCTGTATGTAAACGCCCCGAATTAAAAGTTAAACATGCCCCCGCACCGAGGGAACAGAAAAAAAAATATATCAATAGAAGCAACGGTGTATATCATGTACCGACAGAGGCGGCGTCTGCAGACTCCGACTCGGCCAAGCGCGTGACAGTGGTTCGTGTAATGTTCTTGGATTCAGTAGAAGCATCCCCAGGGCACTGCGTGTCGGTGGGAGGCGGCGTGGGCGGAGCAGCCCCGACTACAGGAACCCGGCAGTTGTCGATGCCATTCACGGACCGCTTGGGCGGCTGCGGGGAGGATTTGTGAGAGTTGGGGGGCGTGGTGGACGACGCCGTCGTGTGAGCAAGTGGACCCGCAGGAGCTTCCGAATCTGAGATCTGTTTCTCAATGGCCATGATTTGCCGCCCGTGAGACTTGTCCTTGAGATCTTTCAAGATTGGCTTGATCCGCTCCACCAGGGCCTCTCGATCCGCACCCTTGAGCATAGCGAGAACCTTCTCTGCCCTGGGTATTAGCAATGGAGTACGCGGGGAAGAGAGAGAGAGATCCAAGATAGAACTCACGAATAACATAATTCCCAAACTGGTCGCGCATGAGGCCTTGCAGTGCGCTGTTGCCGTCGGCATCCTGGGATGTCAATTGGTGGAAGATCTCCTGCCGGTGGGCCTCCGTTCCAAACTCGATACACTTCTCGACCACATTGCTGGCGAACTTGTGCTTCGAGTACGTGATCACATGGGAGATGACGACCGCGACCATCTGAGCCCGGTCCTCCTCATCGCCATTCTCAATCACATGCTGGATCACGTAGTTGCCGAACTGATCCGCGATGAGCTTCGATGTGCATGCATGGAGCTCCTCGAGGATGGAACGTCGGTCAGCCTCCTGGCAGTGCTCAAGCATCCGTTGGATGACCCGGCACCCGTACGGGTGGGTGGCAAGTTTGTCGACTTGCCCCTTGAAGGCGTTGATGATGAATTGCACATGCTCGGATGGGACCCGTTCGATAGCCTTCTGGATGACATGGTTGCCGTTTTGGTCACGCACACAGCGCAACACGGATGGCTCCAACTCCTTGACCATCGCTGCTTGCTGGTCGGTAAGGACGTATTCCAAGGCCTGCCAATATTCGATTAGCGACGAGCGCCACAGGTGGATGAGAACTGCTCACCTTCTGAACCACACGGCACCCATACATCTGCAAGGACAAAACCAGGATATGGTTCTTCATACTGTAGGCCAACAACTTTTTCTGGCCCTGATTGCCATGCTCGAACATTTTCTGGATGACGTAGTTTCCAAAGACGTCGGACATGAGCTGGATGCAATTGTCCAGAATCTCTTTGAAGACTTGTTCCTTTTCATCGCTATTTGCCGTCTCTAGCTTTTGTTGAATAAATCGAGACCCATGCTGGTCACCGCTGAACTCCACTATGTGTCCGTATATATCCTGCGGTCCATGTGTGAGCATGTGTCGCGCGCGTTTCCGCCTGAAGGAGGGAAAAAAGAAAAAAAAAAAAAAAACCTACTTTCAACTCATATCGTTTACTACCCTTGCTGTTGGCGCGAAACTCTTCCAGGACTATACTTCGGTGCGGCGACGGTTGGTCACGGGAACCCCTGGTAGACATAGCAGGTCCGGTAAACTGGGGCACACCGTAGTATGGGGCCACGCCGGCCATTTGGGTCAGATGTGCCGCGGGAAACTGGACCATGTCGTAAGCCGGTCGACTGGAGGAAGCGAACCGTTGCTGTAAGGGGTTTCCCGATGCCGGTAGAAAATCATGATCGGCCTGGTACGCTCGCAACCGTCGCTCCACGTTGGCGGCTTGGTGCTCTGACAAGCGGCTCCCGGAAGAATTTCGAAAGTGCGGCATGGCGGAGGGATTACCGTCCAGACCATTGTAAAACGGGCTATCCATCCGATATTCGGATGGGGAGACATTGTCCCCAATCCGCGGCCTGATCGCTGGGTAACCCAACTGCACGTCCGCCGCAGGGTCCCCTCGGTAGCCCGACACCGTCTGGTAGGCGACATCGTCGGCCCCTGGTTGATAGTTGTATCGGGCGAACTGCTCATCCAGAGACGGACTAGACAGATAGGTCGGTCGATTTGCCACGGAATGCGACGGCAACATGTTGTTGTCATTTATTTGCAATCGGTTGAAATCTGCGGATCCGTTCCCGATCCGACCATCGAACCCTTGGCTATCTGAATGGAACGACGGGAACGACGAGTGCGTCGGCCGGTGCGATGTGAAAGACGCAGAATTGTGCGCTGCATGAGTATAGGTGTTGCGGGCGAGGGGCGGGGGAGCTGTATCAGGTAGAGCCTGCGGCAACGAAGACATGGCCGCGGATCCCGCGATTTCCTCGGACCTTGCGTTGTCCAGCGAGCTTGCGAAGCCGGGCTTGATGGAGAACCCAGGCCCCCTCGCAGCCCCGCCGAAACTAGTCACACTGGTGGCACTGGCGTGCCGCCGACCTTCGCCATTTCTCAAACCGTTAAAGGTACCGAAGGTGTTGCCATCGTTGGACGGCGAGATGGCATCCGGTGTACTATGCAGGTAGGTGTTGTGAGGCGTCGCACCGATGGAGGACCCGATGGCAGACGACCTGGGAATGGAAAAGTACGACGCATCGGTCGGGTCGGAGAGGGCCGCCACACTTCGATCGTTCCCGCGGGTCTGCACGGGCGAGGTGGTCATGCTGGCATTGTGAGCCCGTGACAGGGTGCCTGAGGACGTGTTGATCGTATTCCAGGGAAAGTTACGATGGGCGCGGCTCGTCCACCCGTCCGACTCCGACGTGGATAACAGGGAGCTCGAGCCGGCTTTCCCCTCTAGAACGGCCTCGGTCAGGTTCTGGTCTGGCAAGCATTGTTAGTACGGGCGTCATGAGAGCTGCAGGGGAATCCCGGGCCCTACCTCCTAGATTGTCGTTCCATATATTCCCGGAGTGCCAGCTGGGATTGCCACTGCCAAAGCCGTTCCCCATAGTTGGATGCCTCCCTCGCGATCTCTCCCCGTTTAGAGACGATGGGTTCATGCTGGATGGAGCCATGTTCGACGATCCTTTTGGTCGTGCCTATAGCATCACCGCTTCCGTTAGCCTAGCAATCCAACCGGGTCAGGGTATGAAGACGCACTTTATGCACCGAATCTGAAGTTCCTGCCATTCCACTGCAGTATATGTCGTAACTATGTAAAGATGAAAAGTATCAAACGCGTCGGGGTATCACGTCGGCTGTTGGAAGTAGGCGTCAAAGCGACGAAGCTTGTTCGTTTTCTGTGTGTTGATATCCCTCGCTGCGATTTCGGGGGAAGGTAGAGACTGATTATGCGTGCACCGAAAGCCACAGGCTCCTTGTTTAGGTACACGACAGATAATGAACTGCACGAGGATCAAAAATTCTCATTAGCTCGTGGAAACCTCAACCAAGGGATATTTGATTTTTCTTTTTCTTTTCTTTTTTTCTCATTTTTTTTTCTTTCTTCCCGGACAGACAAGTCAACTTACTAGTGGCAAGAATTCCAGCGGACCGCACGAGAGGGACCAACGTGAGGGGAAAGATAATATATGAAACTGATACAATAGCCTCTTTGTTTTTCTTTTCTCGTCCGTTGCCCTTTCAAACCCGAAAGTTCGAGTGATTTGAAAAAAAAATATACAAGGTATACAGACGATCACAGGGGTGAGGACGAAAGGGAGGAAGGTTGGAAATGGCCGGCGGGCAGGGAAGAAAATGACGAGCGGTCGAGCGAAGCAGGTGCGAAGCCGACGCAAGGTGACAACAATTGAGAAGGGTTCCCTTTCGTTTGTCGGGCGTAATGCTCAGCTACCAGCTGACCGGAGGATAATAAGTATAAACTGTCGCGACGTGACTAGACTCCGTGCATGCTCCAGGAAGCTCGAAATTCGCAGATCGGCCTCATGTGCCCCGTGGAGACGTGACGGTGGAGCGGACGTACCCAGAGGGTTTAATTCGAATCAGACAGCGATGGAGAAAGGGGAGTTCGGATGGGGTATTTTTTGAGGGTGCTGCAGCAAGGGGGGGGTTTCGTTCGTGGTGGAGGAGGGGTGAGAGGGCTGGGTGAAATTGCAGCTGGTATGGGGAAGAATGTGTTGGATGCGCAAATAGAGCAGCGATCAGTCCGTGATTAGTGGAGTCTTGACCGGTGGGAATGTCGAATCGATAGAGACAAAGGGCGGCATTAATCTCGACCAGCTGTGACACCAGCCAAAGCAAGCATGACACCACCAAACCAATGGACAAAAATTCTAGTCAAATCCACCTTTTCACCTGATGGAAGACAGACGAAAGGGAGAGGGGCGACAAGAGAGGAAAAGAAAAATAGAGGGAACAGGAAAAAAAGAAAACGGGAGAGAACCAGGGAATCCGACCTGGTATCAAGACGGGAAGATAAAAAGAGAACCCGGTAGAGATGAGGTTCAAGAAAAGGATCAACTTGGTAGAGAAGAAGAGAAACCAGACGGAAGAAAGAAAGAGAAGAGAGAAAAAAAAAACAAGTGCCTGAATGAAAAGCGAACGTTTCACAAGCACTTCTCAGGCAGGAAGAAAAAAGAGAAGAAGAAAATGAAGGACAGTGTTGAGAAGGATAGAGAAAAGAGGAAAGAAGAGGGAAGAGGGAAAGGGGATGAGGGTTGTATTTGAATTCAACGATGGAAACGACAAAATCAAGTCAAATAGAATCAAACCAAAGAAAGAGAAGAAGATGAAGTCTTTCGATCGCAATTCCAGCGTCAACGATCGATAAGCCCGGAAGGTTGAATGGGCTGGGAACTATCGCCCGTATTTTTCATTACAGCCATGTGACCAAACGACAATACCCTTTGGTGAGCCAAGGCGATCTGTCGATCTGGCCAGGTACTTGCTGAATGTATGGAACCCTTATATTGTGTTCAGGTACCTCGCAGCCGCAGCGGTATCAACCCATACCGTCCGGTGATACTCAGCCATCTCGTCATTCTGTCATCCTCCACGGGTCCATTTAACCTCCTCTTACGAGCTGTCACTGTCTTTCCCCTTCATTCCTTTCCACCCCCTCCCTTTCCCCTCTTAATTTGATCGTTTAACCTTTACTCCTGATGTAATCTATTGTAATCTCTTCTCCGCTGACTTGGACTAGGAAATACTCGGTGGATTCCGGTCCTGTGGGATGTCGTGGAACGGACCTGGCGCAGGAGAGATTGATCAACAGTCTTGGGTCGGGCTGACCGCCAGAAGCCATGGTAATGGCCTGCCGTGGATCGATCTCAATTGCATTGTTGGTCGGAGTCAGTCGATTTCTGAGGTTACGACATGCACAGTTCGAATTGACCACATGTCCGTCACCTTGGTCACCTCATGACGCCTATATTGAATCTGTGATACCGGAAGATCAGAGGTACTATACTATCAGACTGCCTCCAAAGCTCCTCCAGTCAGAAGCCATCAAACAGAGCAGGAGATTTAACCTGTGCTCCAGTCCGACCGATCGGGTCCACTAAATTAGCTTGGGGATCCTTATTAGCCGTAGCACTCACTAGATGACTAGGTGCGGAATCCCCGTTCATGCTCTCTTGATAACCAGTTCTTACTGACCTAGCAGCTCACGGTCGACAAGGTTTGAAATTCGTAGTTGGTGGATTCAATGTTTTTCACAGAATACGTCATTCCGTTCAATCCACGAGCAGAAGAGGTTGAGCTGCGATACTCCGTATACCTCGAGGCATCTCCCCCGGAGCCAAGACCTGCCAAGTTCAGAAAATTAAAAGCAAAGGAAAAGAAAACCCCTCGTGCATTGGATGCAACACTGTCATCAATCAACCACCGAATCGGATCGTGTGGATCAATCATTTTAGTGTTTATTTTCTACTACTGAATTCTTGTCATCTCCAGGTTGATCGGGATGATTCCTAGCCTGTGCCAACTCATATTGTTCTTATCCGTCCATGGGTCCATGGGGGGAAGGAATTGCTGGGGGCAACGCGCCCCCGTCACATTGGCATCATTACGGCTTTCAGGCGCAGACGAACCATCCCTTCCTCCACAAACCTCATGAATGGCCGATCCCTTGGTTCAATTCAGAGTGCTGGTCGACCTACCTCATAATCCCCTTGCTTACGATCCATATCACTAGGTTTCATCCAGCATTGCATTCAACCAAGGGGTGGTTGCGAGGGCCTTCCACTATGGATGCGTCGACTGAATTGATTCGATCTCTTTTTCCATCCACGAGCCACTGCTAACTTCTATCCGAAACCGACCCCAGTGGTAGGCTGAATGCGCCTCCAACTTTCGTCTCGCTGTTTCCTGGATAACCCATGCTATCGATTGGACAGACTCATTTCGCAAGGCCAGAAAAACTTCTCCAGTCACAGTCAAGGGATGGCTCACGATACCGTGTCTTGCCATGGTTGTCCCTGATTAGTGACTCGCGCGCAATGGTCCCACTTCCGACGAGACCCATCTCTCCCCTGCGTGGGATTTCCCATCCCCGGATTGTATGTAGATCCAAATGCACGGGAGAATGTCGGGGACGCTGGAGGAAGGGGTGGGACTCGTGCCCTTTTTTCCCAATTCTCATCTCATTTTATTTCCCCTTCTTTTTTTCTTTCTTTCTGAACTTTTTCCCGCTGTTCACTGACAGAGCCGCCTTAATAGTCCTACCATCCTGGATGGAGTGCCGGGGAACTGCAAACTGTAACCTCAACCTCGCGCAGACTGGGCCCGGGCCTCTGAGATTTTCTTGTTTGAATTGGATGGAACTGGCCACTTAATTCTCGTGTCGGCGGCGCATTCTATCAATTATTGTGCCTATCAACCATGGACACCGTGACACGAACCCCATGGAGGGAAGGGATGGGCGGGTATTTCGGGTGTCAAGGACCCGGCAGTCTTGAAGCTTTAGAGCTATCAGTCTTGATGCGATGCCTAAAACAGTCGGTTACATCGCGCCGAGGGAAATCGTGGCAGGGTAATGCCGTTTTCACCTTCAACGAAAAAGGTTGACATGGGTCCGCTGGTACCTGCGGCAGAAACCCGATATCCCTGACACGACCGAAGCTTATTTATTGATGACAGTCAGGCTCAAACCGTGACTTGAAGACCGAGGTTTATCCGCCCTCGTTACATGGATGGGGCACTCGAGTAGACAGCTCGTCGCCCGGTCAGGTATCTCACTATCTAGCATCTGCCTGTAGCCGTGGTTTCCCCATTCGCCAAACAAAGTATACAAGTCTATAATGCAATCAGAGGAGCCTAGAAGTGGAACTGTCTAGAACCTACTCGGTCGATGGGGACCATAATGTCTTTCTCCGGGGGATCAGGACTTGAAAAAACGTCAGCCAGTAATGTTGCGAAGCGTCAGTATTGTGTCCAACGTTCCATTTGTCCACTATCAAGCGGGAGATAGTTCCGTCTGCCTCGAGCACCAGATGCGGGTGAGCTCTTTGTATTACCCCGTGTCTCCCACCTTGGCCAATTATGACCTTGTTCCCCGTGACTAGATGAGGCACCCAAGGGGGAGGTTTGATCCAAGTGTCGAAACAAGTGACTCAGCTCAATGTATCGAATCCCCGTGTTCCAGATGGAATTCCCCAAAGTCCATCCCTCTGTCGCAGCCCGAATCAACAAACAAAACCCGGGCAACTAAGACAATAACAAAACCCTTGATTCGACCCGACGGTAGCCATGGGAAGGAAGGGTGGAGTCACCCGGATGATCTCCACAGTTTTTGTTTGCATGTCAAACTGTCGGACATGTTACTGCAGACAGATCTAGCAGACTAACAATCTTAGTCCGATTCTTGGACCATCATTCGTCCTCGCGAAATCTCTCTCTGTCTTCCAGCTTCTCAACCTCGTTAAGGAAATAGGTATGCACATGCTGATGAGCACAATCCATCTCTCAGGGGCCCGAGAGCCAAAAAAAGAACCGACTAGGGAGCCAAGTGGGTCCAGTCGGGGTCTCCACCAGCCAATTCGGATGAAGCTTGGTTCATCGACAGGGACAACCAGACGATCATAGGCTGGAGAGGCAGAATGGGGAGATTACATCTCAAGTTAGCATTCCTTTAGCCCCATTTAGCAACCTTTAGCATCACCTTAGTCCAGGTTAGCGAACAGATAGGATTCGTGCATCCAGGCCAAGAGAGAAGAGAGACAAACCAGTATCGGAAGATGGATGATGGGGCAAAAAAAAAACGCCCGTTTCCCGTCTCAGCCTAGTCAGGTGTCTAGGCTCTCAGGCTCCCTCTCTTCCCCCCCTTCTTAGTTCTTACTCTCGCTCTCGCTTCTCTTCTATCTCGCTCGCTCCCTTTTTTCTTGTTTTCTTTTCTTCCCTTCCTTATTCTTTCTTTCCTTTTCACCTCACATACTCATTCCAACCTCCCCCCCCCCACCCTCTCATTCTTACTCCCTTCCTTCCCCATAGCAGGTGTCAGCTTCACTCTTTCAGCTGTTCGCCTTGCTGTCCGTTCTTTCTCTCGATCGTAAACAACCTGATCTGTAGATCGGTTTCCTGCCCTCCCAGTTCCCTCCTTGGACCCACGTCACGATAACGACCCAACCAGCCTTCCAGTCGAACTGCCCTTGGGCATATTCTCTCGTTCTCATCTGAAACGTCGAGTATATTGATACTCAGCACGTAAATTACGCCGAGGATTCCCTACCTCTTTCTTGGGAACCTCTCCATTCATTCCACGGATCCGATACCTTCTTGCAACTACTTTTCGGTTCCTGTCGATATACACGACCGTATAAAGATTCTATCGTTCCAACAAACTCCGAGAACCCACACGAAGGAAAGAAATTCAGATCTCCTCGCCCATCACACAACATGCCCGTCCTTCCCAGGGTCGTCCCACGCGATGATGGGGATGATGGACTCTCCCCCGCAATGGTCGATCTGCTGATCTGCCTTCTGGTCCTCATTTTACTTGGCCTCGCCCTGGTTGGTGGCCTCATTGTCTTGCGCCGAAAGCGTCAGAATCGGAAACAGCTCGAGCTCCCCGTCCACAACGGCCAGGTCCCGAACCCGCGTCGCCTCACGATATCCGCGTCGCCCAACGCCAGGACGGAGTCCGTCCTCGTGTACGATGAGAAACGCAGCCTGATGGAAAACTCGTCCAGCCCGCCCCCCAGTCCCGTTCCCGAGATCCGCATCACGTTCCCGGAGGAGGAAGATGAGATGGGGAAACGCAAGTCCGGGCGAGTGGTCGTCGTGCGAATTACTGATGCGGGCGGTGTGGGGTTGGAGCCCTGCAGCGAACAACTGCCCCCGTATCAATCCAGCGATGCGGAGCGATTCCAGTCCTTGGACATCGACCGCATGGGTGGACTCAAGGAGAAAGGTGACACGAGCAGATGGTCATGAAACAATCAAAACAATTTCGCAACCAACGCTTGACCGCCGACCCTCCTTATAATCCCGACGATACCCCCACCCAGCTCTGTCTTATTCCGTTCAACAACGACCTTCCAAACAAAAACTTGACGATTTTCCGGCCAAGATTTTGCGCACTTCTTATTGCTCATATTGCTCGGCTCCGATTGCTCTTCACTTGCACATACGCCGATATATCCACTCTGTCGACTACCCGCCCATTGAATTTCGGGTTTATTGTTACTTCTGTAATGGATGGTCTACCCGAAACCTGCCCAGGGCACATCGCACCTGACTTGTATACAGCAAGGGTTTTGGGTCCATCTTGACCCTTTTTTTTTCTTTCTCATTCTATATATCATTGTTCTCAACCTGTTCTTCGGACCATACGCCTTCCTTCTCAGCTCAAGTCTCTTTTCTGTCCTGGAAGGCGTTCATTTTCTTCATTCGTTTTTTTTTTTGTGCTTGGCCACTTGTGTTTCCCCTTGCCGCCCTGCTACGTCACTAGGGCCGACAAGATATCACGCACGCTGTTCTGTTGAAAGCTTGATTCATTCTTGCCTTATACTTGTTGTTCACTTCTATCATTCTATAGCCCTGACCTTTCCAGTCTTGGTCTGCCCTTTGGGTGTCTTACAGTTGGATAATGTATGTACCTAGTCAGAGTATCCTTGGAGGCTGTCTCCTGGATACGAGCTCCTACGCATGAGTTTCCTACTCTTCAATCTTTCTGAAATATATTCGTAAACCCTATGCTGAGACTGTCTTCAGCTCTACGGGATAAGATACAGTATGTACCCCTCTACGTAGTGAACAACACACACCCCCACCTCCCACTTGTCGAGGATCGACTGGCCCAGCGAACCACCACGTCGAGTTCATTTCACAAAACTAACCACTCGTGTATACCCTGGGTACCTTACAACTATCATCCATCCATAAATCCACCTAACGATTTAGTCAGGTAAACTCACCATCCTAAGAAGTAAGAGCAAGAGTAAAAGCGAGAACCATCCGAACCTAGATATTAATATACAAACAAGCTAGCTAGTTAGTTGGTTAGTTAGCACCAGTAGTCCCGTACCCACTCGTCGTTAATTAACACGTCATGTCAATCAAGTTAATCAAGGTAATCAACTAACGGATTTTAAATTAATTTATATTAATGGTTTATTCTTAGATAAGTTGATCGCTAGTTCCTACTCCGTATATTATTTGACAGTTCAATATTCTACGGATAATAGAAATTACCTTTAGAACAAGACGATAAGAAAGAAGAGAAAGTAAAGGATAGAATGAAAGAACAAGGTATTTCCACGGATAGTTGCGCCCGAATGATATACATAAACAATGTAGACATTGTCTGCTGTTGTATATATATACATACCCAGGCAGGTACTAGGTAGTGGCCGACTGTCACTGAGTACTGGGGGTATGTATACCCATGATATTAGTTAGTACTAGGTAGGTGGGTAAGTAAGTACCTAGGTAGTCAAAATCTCTTCGTTCTCCTGGTATGCTGTGGGTAGTGTATTTTATATATAGTAGACTATAAAGTATCTTCGGATGTATAGCATTCTTGTCCAGCTTTCTTAGGTTTTCTTTTCTTAATTCTGGCCGGGAAGGATATATATACCACCCATCGAGGTATATAACGACAATCTAGTCAATATATGACCATATTTGCACATGCATCTAGTATATTCTTTGATTCTGTCTAATAAGATACTTTTTGTTTATTCTCCTCCCCCTCTCACCAGGAAAGAAAAGGCACATCAAACGAGATATCAAGTAAAATGAATGAATGTCTGCTTTCTCATAAAGAATCAACAACAGAAAATATAACGATAAAGAAACAAAAACTTTTTTATCTTCTCTGAACACAAGCGAAGCGAGCTGGGGGTATTGACACACATGTTGAAAGAACAAGGATAAAGGAAAAGGGAATAAAAAAAAAAATAGAAAAATCCAGAACAGAATACAATGTACATCATCTCATCACGTAAAAATCATCATAAGAAACTTCAGGTAATGTGCCGAGGGCTCTCTGCTTTTCTTTTTTCTTTTATTATTATTATTATTTTTTTGCTTTGTCTGTTTTTTCCCTTGGTGATTTTCCCGTTTTGGTCTTCTGTTGGCGGTTTTGCTTCTAACGGCTCCATCGGGCAAAGTCAAGGTTCTGAAGGATATTGGCGTCTGCGGAGGCATTCCAATCGGTAGCAAAGTCCGATCGAGCCGGGGTATTGCGCGTCGGAACTTCTTCAGAGAAGATGTTTGCCTTCGTGTTCCGGCGCTGCGTTGGGTAGGCACCGTCTACTTCGTCAGGATTCTGCGACTGCGCTCCGAGGGCCCGCTCCCGTAGTCTTTTGATCTCGCGTAGGCGGTTGCGCCAGGACGACACGTGCTCACCACCCTGGCTGTTCCACACAAGGGAGAAGACGGAAGCATTCAGGGCAAGAATGCGCACGAATGCCGCCAGGTTCTTCCCGGCGATGATTTTTGGCTGCGCCGCGGGCGATATCTCGGGGAAGCCAGCCTTGCTGATCACTTGTACATGATAGGACAGGTTTTCGAATGCCGTGTCTTCTGGCGTCGACGGAGCCGCAGAAGTCTCTGCGATGCGGCACACAGGACTGATGACAATATTGACAAAATTGAATTGGGATGGGATCGTGTCAAAGTTGAATGGCGTATTGGAATGGTTGAAGACGATGTTGACAAAGTCATTCCCCAAGTGGCGCTTTTTGTTGATGCAGGACGGATCGTGGTCGAAGTCGGTCGGCATCATTGTGGCCACATGGTACACGATCTCCGTGACTCGGTCACGCCATGCATACGTGAACTCCCCATCCATGTCGGCGTGCAGTCCCTGCGTGTTAAACTGGGCGCCCCTCAGCGGAACCATGGTACCGAGTCCCGATAAGAAGTACTCATAGTCTGGGCTGCCGTTGGTATTGGAGAGGATCTCAGCTTCGCCAGTTTGACCATTCCCCACGTATAAGACGCCGATTTTGTGTCCGTCCACAATATCATTCCGATCGAATGAGACAAGAGCTCGCCGGGTAATGTCGTCCTCAGGCAGCGGAATTGGCTGCATCGAGGTGGGTGTAGGGAAAGCCGAGATTGTCATTTGAAGTAAGATGTGGCTAGGCAAAACGGCGGAGCGAGGCGTGTCAGAGTGCAAATGAGCCTCGGCGTTGGAAGGAACTTGGTGTGCCAGGACAGGCGCAGTACGTTGCTGATACGTGGCATATGTGGTCCCTGATGCTTGCCTCTTCGTAATTTGACTCAGCCCAGACACACCTGCTGTCTCCACGGATATGACACTCATGCCCACGGCCCATGATTTCTTCATCGCCGGACCATCTGCTGGCGACGGAGGAAAGGTCTCATATGGGATAGTTTCACCTAGATCCGAAAAGGTCACCCTTTGCATCAAATCGAGGAAAACCTGGCTTTGTTCCTCGACCATCTCTTTTCCATGTTCATCCTTGAAAATCAGTCGGCTTGTGATCCAGTTGACGTGTTTCGCTCGATCCTGTAGCTTCAAGGATAAAAACCAAAAGACCATGACATGGTGAGTCAGGGTGTACATGTATCTGGACATTCCATCTTGAAGGGATGGGTCGGACGTCTCGAGCACTGCCGTTTCCCTTACACCGCTCCCGACCCTCGTGGAGGTCTGGGTACCCCGGTTAGAAGACTCGGATGATCGGGAACGATGCTCTCTGGAGGTTTGTAGAGATCGGATGCAGATCCCGAACACAGTCCGTATCTCCTCCTCACGCAGATTGACATAGAGATCGGGTAGCCGCGCAAGCAGAGCTAAGAATTCAAGGATGTGGACCGCAAGATTGGACATCGTGATTACCTTGGACATCTTGTCAAGGATCCCGTTGAGTGACTTCGTCACAGACATCGGTGTCTCATAGCAGCAGACAGAAAGCGCATGGATACACTTCCGTGAACTACCCCCCCAAGACCCAACGATACCCATCATGAATGCGCGCACGAGCTCATCTTCCTCGCTTTTGGCAAAGGAGCTGTGGAAGCTAATCAAAACGCCAAGAGACTCAAACACAAGCCCAGCGACATCGGTTTTCTTGGCCCCGGTCGACGCCGGGGGTTCTCGGAAAGAGTCATTTTTAACCTGGTCACAGAGGACGCTGCGCAAGAGTTTGATCTGAGGGACTGCGTTGGTGAAGAAGTCCTTATTGCGAAGCTGTGGTGGGAGATGAGTCAGGACATAGCTGTATATATCCCAATTCGTTTCACGTTGTATCAAGGAGATGACAGTCTCCAACCACATGTTCACTTTCAATATGACTTTCTGCGCCGGATCAGATTCAAACTCTTGCGATTCGCTGGCAGCGGCATGGACATAAACACAAGGGCTGGACCCGTCTGGTGGTTCCTCGGGAAGCACCTGAGGAGAAGAATATGTCCATATCGGGGGTGTCGGCTTCGAGGTTCGGAGGGTGATGCCTGCATTGCGCCCTGCATATTTAGACGAAAGAGCGCTTGATGATTCTTTGGTTGAAATTCGACTCTGACCTGACGGACGCAAGTATTCGCCATCCGGGTTGTGGTCCCCAGCAGTGTTCTCGGGCGAAACTTGTGCTTTGGTAGTGCTGTCAATATTGCGTCCGGGGACATCCACCAAAAATTCGTTCTCGGGAATGGGCGCGACTATAACAGACCCTGCAGAGTCACACCGTAACCTGAACAACAACTTGAGCACAGATAAACGTGCGTCGACTGGTCTCTCCGAAGATTCTGCGATATTCAACAACGATTCAAACACCAGCAAAGCCTTGGTGGCGGACAAATTCAATGACCGAAGAAAAACTCTGACAAGACCGACAGAGCAGACATTGGCAAAAGATGGACCGAGCACAGTAGAGGATGAGTGGCCGGAAGAGTGGCGCTGAGGGGAGGAAGCCGTTGACGATTCCTCTTCATTAACCGCCTCTTTGCTTACATCCTTCATC